CTGCTAATTTCTTCAAAAACAGTCTAAAATTGTTACCTGCATTGGTTTTTTACACTTGGGTTGGACTTGCAGGCAGATTTTACTGCCATGACCACAACCACATTCACGTTCATGATTAAATTAAAATAAACAAAAAATTGTAATATTATGTTAGATTTTACATAGTACTTTTTCGCAATCTTGTCATTTTAAATAATTATTTAATTTATAATATTTGAAAAAAATTCTTAAAATGAAAAATACTGTAACCACGAAATTTGAAGTGATTTTTTTATTAATAAAGTTTATTAGTTATATGAGAAAAATATAAAAAGTATATTTGAGTTATAAGAAAAGGTCAAAAAGTTTATTTAAACAAATAATTTAAACTTAAATATTAAAGTTTAAAAATAGAACAATAGACTTTTCTTTATATAAGTTTAAATATATTAAAAACTCTATGTATCAATAACAGATAAATAAGCTTTTGTTAACAATTAAACTTTTATACATACAGTATAAATCTAACAATAACCTCGATAATAGAAATAAAAAAACAAAAAATATTGTCCATATGATATGAGTAAATTAATAAAAAGCATTCGTCTTTTCACACATTGATTAATAAAACCTTTATCCCCGTGCTCCTATTGTAACACTGATTGATTACTTCACCCTTTTCACCCTTACGCTCCTATTGTAAAATAAAAGCCTTTGACTGCTGACCGATGTTGTATTCCTAATAATAATTTTTCCATTTATAACACTATCACTAGTCAAAATAAGACAAATCGGCATCAGCTGATTAAACAAGAACATCACGTATTTGTGTACTACACTACCACATAACGCGTATCACAAAAGTTAAATTTAAACTTTTAAAATTTAAACAAACTCCCTTTTCCTCTTTTTTCTCTCCCCTCCCTCCCCTTTCTCTCGTTTACTTCATCTTTTCCTTCCCTTTGTCTTTTTTTTCTCTTTTCCCACTTCTTTCATAAAAATCCCTTATTTTGCTTACCTGACTTACACTTTCTATTAAAAAATTCTTAACAAGACATTTTCTAATGTTTCAATTTTTTTTTTTTAGGTATTCTTTTCAGTTGACACGAAATTTTGATATACTTTTCATTTTTTTTCTTTATTTGCTTTTAATGAACAGTTTCTAGCAGTTTATTTTTTTTATTTTTAGGCTTTTTAGATGGCCAGTTCACACCTCTAAGCATCAAAAACATGGAATCTTTCAAAACTTGTTAAAAAATGTTATTTTAACATTTTTTTATTTCTATCTTGTAAAAATCTGGCCAAATTTTGATTTTGGATCTCTAGATAATTTTTGAATTTCAAGAACTTTAATAAAAAACATTATATTGAAACTTTATTTTGTTTCTATTTTGTGGGTTTTGGAGTCTGGCTTTTGGACTATGAGCGAAATGTCAATACCGCCATTGTACAGTACATCACCAATCAGAAGATTCCGCTGTAACAGTAGAGAGCAAAACACTTTTCTTCCAAAAACATGCAATTGAGTAAGTTTCCAAAATAATCAAAAATATACTTTTTAAAAAAAAATTTTAAACATTTTTTTCTTTTTTTTTTGTAGGAAAATCGGCTTTAGCTTGGATATTATAATCTCAAAGGTAAAGAAAAATTAATTTATTTTTATTTTTAATGAACTTTACTTACAGTCTATTTCTTATTCTTTTTTTTAGGTGCATCTTTCAGTCTCTATTTTACTTTAATAAAATAGCTACTAGCGTTTTATTTTCATTTTTTTGTAAATGGCCAGCTTTTTGGGTGCTTAAACGCTTAGAAGATTCGGTCAGTCTTTTACTTTTGCTTTGAATTAATCCTTTTAACAAAACAATCACAGAATCACTAACATTTCATTTATTTCATTTTTTTTTTTACAGCATCCATTCTTCTGGTCTTTAGACGTGTAGAATTTCAGTAAAAAATCAATTTTTATCATTTTTTTTCTTCTTGAATTTATTCTTTAAAATGAGACGTTTTATAACATTTTGTTTTCTTTCTTTTTTAGGTTGCTTTCTCTTTGAATCTGGATGTGTTGTAATAGGTAGGCTAGTTTTGAAATATTTTGAACTTAAAATTTTAGTTGAAAAGACGTATACTAACAGTTTCTTCTTTTTTTTGTAGATTTCTATTCTGGATTTTTATTTTACTTTTTTGGATAAATGAAATAACTTTGGTTTTTTCGTGTATTTTTTTATAACAAACCTTGAATTCAAATCTTTAGATCACTAAGAACCTTCCTCTTTACCACACCTTATTTTGACGAAGGGATCATGTTTTGTGATCAAATCATCTTATTTTTTGTTGATTAATCTTTCATTCCTTCTGTGCGTATTGATGTATTCAAAATTTCATATTTCTATTCTTTAATATTTCCAAAGTATGCAAAGCTTCTATAACATCATTATCTTTGGTATCTGGACGAGTGGTTTATTATTTCTGACTGCAGAATTCTCATTTTCTTGTTGCTTTACCTCATTATTTGTAAAAGTTGTATGAAGCTTCGTGTACGAAGACAAAAACATTTCTGAGAAAACCACTAAACTCATGGTTGCCATTATTATTACTAATCCCATTTCATTTTATCACTATTAACTTTAACCAGTGCACCAGACCTTCTTGTGAAGAATAGTACGTTGATAAAAGATATCAGCCAGCTAGGTATACCATCGCAGTATGTTACTGCCAGGTCTTGTTCATACTTACAAATAAGCACAAAGAAAATTTAAAGAGAAAGGCGTAATAAAGTAGCTACTTCTCTAAAACTCTACAAAAACTGAATACGAGTTAACCTACCAAAAGAACTATCTTTTTGTCTGGTTTCTTGGTAAGAAAAACTTCTGACTTTTCGCTAAAAAAATGCAAATATCATCTCACTAATCAACTCCACATTGCAGTACCACTAAAAAGTGCGTCAACTATCACCTTTTTACTTCGCAAAAATTATGGGTTGAGGATCAGTAGAGAGAAGTTCCTTCCTTTAGAACGTGATTGGGACTCACAAATTTGCATATATACAAGAATACATATATATTTACTATCAATTTACTATGTATTTATTATATATTTACCATGAATTTACTGTATATTTATTATATATTTACTACAATTTATTATAAAGTTACTACAAATTTACTATATATTTATTATGAATTTACTACATCACATATATATCATTACTTTAAATCATTTATACAGTTTCTTGCTGACATTTGTATAGTTTCTTTATATTGGCAATACAATTTCTATATTATGACTATAATTTACTACATATTTTCTATATTAAATACATACAATTGCGTTAGAATTAACATAGAGTAGCCGTACGCCTACTACGTTAAGTGGCGGCAGCATGGCTACTACATAGCCGCGATTTCATGGGTTTCAGCAAAGATAGGGAGTAAGTTATTTACTTAATTCTATTATTACTTATTAATATAATATTTAAATATAATTTAAACTAACTAAATTCTTTATTTAAAAAATTATTTTGTAATTTGTAATTTATTTTAGAACGTAAGTTATAAGTTATTTATTTAATTATTATTACCTATTTTATATAATATTTACATATAATTTAAACTAATTAAATTCTTTTATATAGAACGTAAGTTATAAGTTATTTAATTACATATAATTTAAACTAACTAAATTCTTTATTTAAAAAATTATTTAATAATATAGGAAGTAAGTTATTTATTTACTTATTTATATAATATTTACATATAATTTAAACTAACTAAATTCTTTATAAAAAATTATTTATAATTTGTAATTTATTTTAGATAGTAAGTTATAAGTTATTTATTTAATTTTATTATTAGTTATTTATATAATATTTAAATATAATTTAAACTAACTAAATTCTTTATTTAAAAAATTATTTAATAATATAGAGAGTAAGTTATTTATTTAATTCTATTATTACTTATTTATAAAACATTTACATATAATTTAAACTACTAACTAAATTTTTTATTTAAAAATTTGTTTTATAATATAGAGGGTAAGTTATTTATTTAATTTTATTATTACTTATTTATATAATATTTAAATATAATTTAAACTAATTAAATTCTTTATTTAAAAAATTATTTTATAATTTATTTTAGTTGGTAAGTCATAAGTAATTCTATTATTACTCATTTATATAATATTTACATACAATTTAAACTAACTAAATTCTTTATTTAATTAGAACGTAAGTTATAAGTTATTTATTTGATTTTATTATTACTTATTTATATAATATTTATATAATTTAAACTAACTAAATTCTTTATTTAAAAATTATTTAATAATACAACAGTTCGTAAGTTATTTATTTAATTTTATTATTACTTATTTGTATAATATTTATATAATTTAAACTAAATTCTTTATTTAAAAAATTATTTAATTATATAGCTTGTAAGTTATTCGTTTTTTCTATTGTTATATATTTTATATAATATTTATTTGTTAACTGGATCCTTTTATTTAAAAACACCCATTACTTTAGTTGGTAAGTTGTGAATTATATGTTATTATTATATAATTTTATCCAAAAACTAAAATTTATGTCATATAAATTTCTATTTGAATTTTAGAGTAAGTGCTAATTATAAATTCATTTTTTAGTGTAAATTTTAATATAAACTATAATATAATTTTATTATTTAAATTTATAGGTTCGGAAAAAGTGGAAATGCAATTATAGATGATTTTATTCTTAAAAATGGACTTAAATGGATTCCTTATAATAAATTTGAATATGTTGAATATCTTAGTGAAGGAGGATTTGGTACTATATACAAAGCTATTTGGTTGAATGATAATGAAGATGATGAAGTAATTCTTAAATGTCACAAGAATTTAAGTGAAAATTTAAGTGAATTTTTAAAAGAAGTATGATAATATATTATTTCCTATTTTTAATTTAATTTAAATTATAACTTATTTATATTAATGAATTATTATTATTTTTTATAGTGGGAATATCATAAAAAGTGTTTAGGTTCAGATAATATTATTGATTTTTATGGATTTACAAAAGATCTAAATACTTCAAAATATATGGTAGTAATGGATTATGCAAATAAAGGCAATTTAAGAGAAAATTTAACAGGAATAGTCGAAAATCATTGGAATCAAAAATTACATATGTTGTACGAAATTATTTCTGGACTTAGTAAGATACATGGAAAAAGTCTTATTCATTGTGATTTTCATGATGGTAATATTTTAAATCATAATGATGAGTATGGTGATAATAAAAATTATATTAGTGATTTAGGATTATGCCAACCTGTAAAATCATTTTTGAAAAAGTATGATATTTATGGTGTTATACCATTTATGGCACCTGAAGTTTTAAGAGGCAAATCTTATACTCCAGCTAGTGATATATATAGTTTTTCTATGATTATGTGGGAATTTACATCTGGGGCACCACCATTTAATAATAGAGCACATGATCTTTAACTTAGTTTAAGTATTTGTAAAGGTGAACGTCCTGAAATTATTGAAAATACTCCACAATGCTATGTAGATTTAATGAAAAAATGTTGGAATGAAGATCCATTAAAAAGACCATCTACTTCAGAAGTGAAAGGTGTTATTAAGAATTGGATTTTCCGTCCTTATTATAAATTAGTTAGTGAAGAATTAAAAAGCAACATTATGGAATTTATAGATGCACCAATTGGGCATTATGATCTAGCTATTAAATCTCATCCTAAAGCATATTATACAAGTCGCTTACATGATTTCACTAGTGAAAAATTGAATGAAATTCTTGAAAGTGAAAATTTGGATAATTATATGATTAAAGATTTAAAGTCATTAGGTATGCAAGGTATGCAATAATACATATAAAATTTAATCTTGAAAATTATTTACATGAAAATGATTTATTTATTTAATTAATTAGATATTAAAGCAGACGAAAATACTAGTGAAAACTTGAGTGAAATTCTTGAAAGTGAAGATTCACAAGTTAGTGTAAAAGTAAATGAAATACTAGTAAGTGAAGATTTGAATGATTATATAATTTAAGATTTGAAGTCATTAGGTATGCAATATAATACATATAAAATTTAATCTTGCAAATTATTTATATAAAAGTAATTTTATTTTATTATATTAAAACAGATGAAAATTAACCAATTATGTGTGTTTAAAATGATTTATAGTTTTTTTTTTAAGTGATATTTGATATCATGCATTCAACAAAAATTGTTCTTTATTTTATTCTTTTAGATTTATTTAAACACTAAGGCTAGAGTAGTAAAATTATTTTAAAGATTCTTAGTTTGTAATTTAAATAATTCCTTTATATTTATACAAATATTAAATATATGTATTCTCTTTTTGGAATTATTTAAACACTAGGTCTAGAGTAGTAAATATTTTACAAATTTCTTAGTTTGTAATTTAAATAAATCTTTTTTTTTTATATAATTTTTCCAGTTAGTATTAAATATAAATTATCAAAAAAAGTATATAAAACCATTTCCAATGCATAAAATTAAAATTAAATAATGTAATATTTTTATACTCATTTTAATAGCTAATTGTTTTTAATTTACAGTCAACTCTGGATATAACGAACCTTCCGTTCCAGGAGGTTTGGTTCGGTATATAGTGAATTCGTTATATAATATACCGTACTAGTTTTCTTTATAGGTAATTTAGGCCAAATTTGTAATGCTGGCCAAAATTATAATTTCTTTTAACATAAATTTTCGAAAAAATTACTAGTAATTCTGGCCAGCACTATCTGGGTTACTATATAGTCACATGACCGTTCGTTATAGAAAGTATAAAGTTATTATATAGCTGATATATAGGGGCTGGTTAAGTTTGGTTCGGATGCGTTATATAGTGTTTTATTATAAAAGTTCGTTATATCCAGTGAAATTATTTATAAAAAATCGGTTCTGGAAATTATGATTCGGTATCAGTATAACGAGGTTTCGGTACAAACAGGTTCGTTATAACCAGAGTCGACTGTATATTGTTAACCTTTATTTTAATATTATTTAAATACTTGGTTAACATAAATCTGCTGGGATTATATGACATATCAGTTATTTTTCTTGATAAACCCAAATATTATGATGTACAAGTACATTTGCGCATGTTAAAATGAATAAATTTATTAGTTTATCGCTTTATATAATCAGCATTGCAAATTTAACAGAAAATAATATTAACACCAATTATGTTTATCCCTTTCGATAATGAAGACATAGGTAAAGAGTTATCGAAGCTAGGTAATTTTTCAGTATTAAAGTAAAGGTCCAATACAAATACAAATCCGTTAGAGCAAACAAATTATAAAGTGAAAACTTTAAATTAAAGTTTTTGAACAATTCTTTCGGCATTGACATTGGATCAGGTGTTATTAGAGGCGATAGCACGGTTAAAGGAAGCAATGACCGTGATCGTTGGCAATTAACTAGAGATTTAACCGCTGAGGAGATGGAAGAATGCAAAAACAACGAGTACGAGTTTGTTAAAAAATGAATTATGACTTGTCAGTCGGTAAATTTTCTAAGATCCTTAAAATATCAAAAATTGGAAAATTATAGCATATCTTAAGGATCAAAAATCCATGGAACAAGCGGTGGAAAGATCGATAGCTAACGGCAATACAGAAAATATAGAGATTTGAAGGAAATATATAGAGGAGAGAAGAAACAAGAGAAGAAAGTGGGCTTACAAAAAGTACTGTAGATAAAGAGAAAATGGAAGAGAAATTAAAAACGAACGACGAAGAGAAGTTGAATGAACCTTTGTTGGAAAAGAGTTTTTCTGAATTGGATGACATTAGTAAGTATCAAAATACAAAAAGTATCAATAAAGGTCATGAAAAATCGACAGCATTAACGAAGAATGAGGTAGTGGATGCGATAAATAGATATAAAAAAGGAGTAGAAGAGGAAGTTGATCAAGATAATAAAGTAATGAGCAAGAGATAACGTTACAACAGAAGAGGTGGTAAATATTATTAGCGATCAAAGAGATGGGAAGAAAAAGAGAAAATTCCTTATCAACGTTATATACTCTCATCAATTCTATCGGAAAAGAATGAATCTAGTACATCAAAATCATTAACACTGAAGGAACGTAAATTCTTAAAATTAGAAGAAGTGTTACCGAAAGTTGAGGAATTGAAGAATATATTCAAAGAGTTCGGAGAAGTAATGGCATGAGAAGTGATATAAGAGACATACAAAGAATTTGAGGATGATCGTTCAATACAGTCTTCGGAGTGGCTGACAAAGTTAAAGAAAGAATCATTAAAACGACGGAATCACATGACATGATACAAAAATTTACGACATTAAATAATGATTTCACAAAAAGAGTAAGGGGAACGGGGAAATAAATGAAAAGAATATAAATGAAAAGAGGGCAAGGAAGTATCAGAAAAGATGGAGAATGGAACGAGTAGATCGATTGATCGTATTCAAAGTCACGTGATTTTACGTTATATCTATCTTTTTGGATTCGTTGCTAAATTTTCGTGAGTAATTAATTAGTAGGTTTGCTAATTTAGATGTAGCATAAAGTTTGTAGCTTACATTATCAAATTAAATTAGCGAGTTATAGATAGGGATTATTAGTTTTGTTTTTTTTTGTTTTTCTTCTTTTTGTTTCTTTTAGTTTATGTTGTTTAATATTTTAGATAGATACTTTATTGATTACATGATCGAAGCGTGATGCTTTGCGTGTACATGATGGTTACATGTTAACGCTGTTCATACAAAAGAATATGTTCAATTTTTCTGAGATGATCGGCAGAATTATCATGTGACTTTAAATGCGATTCTCTCAAAATCACGATCACTCTAGTCCTCATATACAATTTAATTATTTTTTAGGTTGCTTTACCAATATTAATAAGTGAAAAATTAACTTATTTTAGTAATAATAATAGATCATATGGAAAAAAAATATTTTTGTAACGATATAACCTATATATATAAATTAAAATAATTTTATCTGACGTTTATATATAAATAATTTAATTGTGTAACTTGAATCTCGTGCTATATAATTATGATTTGACTGTCAGGATCATGTGTACGTTACGATGTAAGATTTTTCATTGCTAATACAGCTCCGGTTAATGAAAAAAACTTTTTTCGTTAAAAAAGCTTTAGTTTGTATTACTAATGATTTTTCATTTTCGGCCATAGCTATCCAAATAAGTCTTTTTTTTAGACCGAATTATTTCTTTAAATAACAATATTATTCTTTTTCGGTTTTTTTAGAGCCGATTTTTTTTAAAAAAAAATTTTCGGTCTTTGTGTTTAGACTGAAATTATATATTTTTTTAAAATAATATTTTTTTCGATCTTTTTTTAGACCAAATTCTTGTTTTTATATAATATTTTTTTCAGTTTTTTAAAACCAATATTTTAATGATTTTTTATCTTTCCAGTTTTTTTTTTAAAAAAAACTGTATTTTGATATTTTCGTTCCGGTTTTTTTAAACCCGAATTTTTTTAATTTTTTTAATTATTAATTTTATTAGTTGATAATTTTATAGGAAAGGATTTATAAATTATTTTATGAACAAGGAAAGTAGTAGAAGATGACTTGATAATCAATATTTTACAGAATTAATATTTATTGAAGAAAAGAAGTAGTGAAAAAAAAAAAGGACTCAAAAGGTCATTAGTTACTATATCGCTTTTTAATCACTTCAAGTAATTAAGAAATAGATTAACTTTTTTTTGCTATTTTTTTTTTATTATTCGTTTTTTTTATTGTATTTATTCATTTATAATTAACACTAATAAAAAGACAATTTTTTGGTTATCTCCGTCCTCTAACATAAGTTGTAGTAAATTTTTAATTATATAAAATAAAATATTTTTAAATTAAAATCATAATAAATGATGCAGTAAATAGTAAAATGAGAGTATCGTTAAAAAAATAAGAATATTTTTGTTTTTATAACAAATAGACAATAACAAGATTATTGAAGTGGAATTGTATATAAGAAATGATAATAAAATTAAAGAGAAAAATCTTTTGTAGTATAAGCAAATTAATGAAAAAGATACTGTATAAATAATATAATCAATATATAGTTAAAGTTGATAAAAAGGAATTGATAATTTGGACTAATTATAATAATGTAATTTATAACAATGTAAGAAAAAAATCGCGAAGTAAAAATTATCGTAATATTGTGTTACATTTGATATCTACAGGCTACAGCAGATAATGATGCATGAAAATTCACCTAATTTGAAATTGTGTTGGTTGTAATTTAAATATAAGTAAATTAGGACCCAGAAATATATATACAGGGGTAGGGTACACAGATGCGTCGCCATCATAGTGGAATTAGACGGAGTAAAGTTTTGATTTGCGTACAATTTTAGAATTTTTCATCTATAGTTAGGTCATCAAAATTGCGTATTTTTTATCAAAATTTTTATATGTAAAAAATTAGTTTGCGTATTTTTGGCCTAAATTTGGCTAATCTTATATATAAAATATTTTTATTGTACGTACTTATTTAATTAACTGCATTGTAATATTTAGTATTAATTGAAAGAAATTTCTAATGGTTAAAAGTGAAATTTTAGAAAAATATTATTGAAAAAATGGGTAATTCTATTTTTTCACATTAGTATTTGGTTTTATAAATAATAGAGAAGCCATGATAAAATAATTAATAACTTAATGTCTGAAATTTTATTTGCATATTTTTGCAGGATTTTCAATATCAGGTGTCAATTATGCGTACTACTCATATAAAAAGTCTCTGCGTACAGCTCATAGTAAAAAAATTTTTCGCCACCTGACCCCTATATATATATTTCTGGGTCCTAGTAAATTGAATGACAAAGGAAATGAAAAAAAGTAGTATTATTAATTATAGGAAAGAGAAAAATTCAAATAATAGTTTTACTAAACCATACATACAGAAATACTAAAATTAAAAATGATTTGTGTAAAAAGTTACAAAAGATTGATAGTAATGAAAACGATAATATGAAAATTGATGTAATTTGTTATTTGATAAATGGGGATGGAGAAAAATTTACCGAAATTAAAAATTAATTATGGGACAATTAGAGATAAAAGATGCTCAGCCGGTCTTTTTTGACTTTAATATGGCGTTATCGTAAGGTACAGTTTAAAATTTAACGATATATATAGAATAATAATTTTATGATAGAATTAAATAAAACTAAAAATATGAAACTTCTGAACAATAAATCCATTATAAATTTATTTAAAACTTATATGTACTACAACTAGTTACAATTATATTTATACTACAGCGCCCATGGTATGTAATAACATCAAAGATTTATTCTTTAACCTCTTAAACCTGAATTCCGTTATCTGAGGCTTTTTTAAACAAAAGGATTGCTTCTTCTTTATCCTTATTAGTTCCTAAGCCATAATGGTAACAAACCCCTAAATTATATATTCCCAAAGCACATCCATCATTAGCTGATTTTAAATACCATGCATGTAAATGCATCTTCATAATTTTTTTGTACTCCTTTACCATAAAAATAACATTCTCCTAAACTATTTTTTGCCATTGCATTTTCCAATTTAGCAGACTTTAGATACCATTTAAACGCTTCTTTGTAATTCACACTTATTCCAATTCCATTATAATAACAATAACCTAAATTATATTGACCTTTAGCACACCCATTATTAGCTGATTTTAAAAATAAATCAAATGCTTTAGAATAATCTTTAACTGTTCCTATACCATAATGATAACACAAACCTAAACCATATTGACCCAAAGCAGATCCATTATTAGCTGACATGGAATACCATTTAAATGCTTTATCATAATCTTTATCTATTCCAATTCCATTCTTATAACACAACCCTAAACTATATTGATTTTCAGCACATCCATATTTGGCTGATTTTAAATACCATTTAAATGCTTTCTTATAATTTTGTACTACTCCTTGACCATAATGATAACGATATCCTAAGGTTTTAATACTTAAAATAATATCTTTATAATAAAATAATGATAATAAATATTTTCCAATAATAATATTATTATTTTGTATTATATCAAATTCATTATCATTTTCTTCTTCAGAAAATTGTAAATGTTCAAAACTTTCATTTAAAGATTTTTCATTATTATTAACTGCCAATAAATATAATTTTAATGCCTTATTTTTATCAATATTACAACCGATACCATATTGATAAAAAAATCCAATAATACTGGAAAATAATAATTCATTTTTATTATGATTTTTCATTAATTCTAAAATTGATTTGATGTTTTTATCAAGATTTTTTATCCATTTTTTTAAAGTGATTTCAAATGTATTGATATCTTTTATATCAATAATTTTTTGATAAAATTCTTTTGAAAATTCTTTTATAAAAATTTTATCATTCATTATAGAAATATTTGTAACTGGATTATCTTTATCATTTGACATTTTGAAAAAATTTACTCTTTTATCTTCTATTAATATTTGACTAAATTTAACATGTTTAGTGTTTAGTAATAGTAAAATGTAATACTGTTAAGCAATTTTTATAAAATATCATCTTGGTTTTATTGTAATTTATTTGTGGCAACTACATCATAACTGACTCTTTCCAAACAAAAATGAAATAACACACGTACTGTAACACATCATATGATTATGATTAATTATGAACAAATGAATATAATGAATATAAAATCGAGTTTGTGTAATTAAATAATTATAGTATGGTTTCCGTTCGACAGCAATTAAAGCGACTGAAGAAAATAATGTGTGACACTAAGAAATTATGTCACGCACCTGCAAATAGAACAATTTAATATTTAGTTTGAAGATTTGAGATTAGTTCTTCCAATGTGTTACACAGATACCGTTATTCATTGTTTTCTAAAGCAAAAATTTTTAGATATTAAGAAATTATCATCCTTGATTAACGATAAATTATCAACCATCTTCTTAAATTTTCTGCTTTCGATCTCCACGGTTAGAGCCGATGATAATAACGAAAACACAGATTTTTATTTTATATACTTTGCGCCATATCTAGCATATGCGTTTGATCAAAGTTTGTTATTCCAAAGAAATAAACCATTTACTGTTGTATAGTGTTATAATTTTTCAATTAATTTAAGAAATGTAACTTTTGGTACGTTTGGAATGCTCTTAGGACGTGGTAGAATAATAAGAGTAGCTACACAAGGGTTAGTCTCTATGCTTTCCTAGCTTGTAACTTCAATTTATATTCTTCCAAATCTTAATAATACTTTATTCTTCCATTTGATTACTATGATATGGCTTTTGAAAAGTTTGAAATGAATGATGAAATTTTAACATCTTATATAAATTTCTTAAATTTCCGGAGCGGGTCAAAGATGTTAAAATTTTGAAAATAGTTTCATCTTCGGTAAGTATTAGTAAATGTTTACCAAATCATTTGTTATTAATAATCTCATTTAAATATCTTAAACCAGTAATCCCCAAATTGGATTTTTATTAATCGTTTCTTTTGTATCATCTTGAATAATAGATACTATATCACGGTTTAAAGAGTTTGAAATCTTCTTTTAAATTTTTTAAATTATATTTCTGAATTATACTGAATTTCTCAGAATTATAGTTGGTTTACTCATATTTGGATTCAGTTTTAATATTTTTATATAATGTGTTTTTTTATTTGGCATCTTTATTTGATTAATCACAGTGACAATTATGTTTTATTTTACTATCATGATTAGTTCTTTTCCGATTATTATTATAATATTATTATTTATTTTAGTCAAGGGTAGAACAATCAAAGAATTTTTTTTTCAAAGTTACAAGAATCTCAAATTATTCTTTCATTATTTTTTATATTATGGTTATTTATAGTCATATAGATCAATTATGACAATTTATTATCTATTAGAATTACTAACCTCTGAAATTTATGCAAAGTTCTTGGAATTCTTTTTTATTATAGTTATTGGATGGGATTGCATCATTGAGATGCGAAAGTGATCAAATCAATTTATCATAAATTTTTTTAAAAATTTTATGGTGCATTTGAATTTGTGAGTGAGTTTTAATATATGTTAAATTAAAACAATAATTATATACTAAAAGTCTAGAAACAGATATTATAATTTATTTATAATGGATATTTAGAACATATACTTAAAACTTGATTATTTTATTTATTTTTTAAAAAATCCTTGTATTTTGAATAAGCTTTTAATAAAGCAATGATATTATTATTTAGACTTACAATTGCTTTTTTAAACTTTAAAATATGTTTCAAGAAACAATTTTCCTTTGAGTAAGTTTATTACCAAATTATTCGTTTAATTAATCGTAATACTTTTTATATTACTTTGTGATACTTTACTTCTGATATTCCTTTCACGAAATACATTAATAATAAAATTAATAAATTATGTTTTTTTTATTATCAATACTATTATCGTTATAAATTTACTAAGACCTGTACATTAACTAAATACACATTCTGCTATTTAATTCAGATTTTTAGTTTCAAAAAAATAAATTTATAGTGTATATATGATAATTTTTTTTTTTTTCAATATAAGGTTGTTCCAAACTCAATTGCTTATTAACTTCTTAATTTTCTGGATTTTCGGAAAAGTTAGAGAGGGAAGAAGGTTTTCATTAAACAAACTAAACGAAATGAATATGGAAATTTTTGGAAAATTTCGGAAAATTTCGGAAAATCGTAATTTAAATTTAAAGAGGGTATTTAAAACATTTAAGTTGTTATGTATACGTTTATCAAAATTTAGATTTTTTAAAAAAAATAGAGAGGGGGTGGATACGTTAAGCAAGCAATTAAATTGATAGCATTTTTTAGTAGGTTTGTAGGTTTGTTTAATAATTTTTTTTTAGATAAGACTACGCCATCTATCACGTAATTACTGGATAAATGATCTCGGAGGAAATAATGCCGAACATCCGAGACATACTGTAATGATATATGGCGTACCTAAACTTGGATCCCAGAAAAATTCTTAACGAACTTTACGGCTTGAAGTGCTACATCAATGTCGAAAAACAAAACGTATCAGATCGCATTTACATTACCTAGCTACGATCGGAGGATTTAGTTTTATATGCTGGGTAATGTCCAAGTTAGATGGTTTCGTGTCGCTGGACTTTACCGCAAAGAAAACAAGCATGAGAGACGTGCCTGATGCAATGCATGAGCGTTTATTACTGCGCCGCGATATTAAATAATTCAAGAGCTACAAGGTTATAAAAGATGCCAGAGGTAAAAATATGTTGATAGGAGGATTTGTTGGAAGATTTAGAAATGCCTTTCACATATGAAAAGAAGAATTACCAATGGTTCGTTCTATCTTGAAGCAAAAAAAAGAAATCTCCTGGCAAGAGGTCAACGGGAAGGGCTTCACAAAAAGATAATCAAGGGAGCATGGTTAAGAGTAACAAGAAGAATTCCAATCCAAAGCCGAGTTCTGGGACCTAACAAATTCTGGGAAGTACAACAAGGACAATGCCGCAGCGGATATTTTGAAATCAGATTATTTTATAAGTTGAAGGTGTTGTTAGGAGTAAAAAGCAATTTTTTTTTATATTTTTTCCTTTTCTTTACTATAGTAGTGCTCCATTATTTATAAATTAGTAAATAGTTTCGTCATAGATAGATTCTATGATATTTCTAGGTAGTTTTTAAAGTAAATTTATTTGTTGTATGACTCGATAAATTTCAATAAAAACGTGTGTTACTAAAAAAAAAAAAAAATTATTTCTAAGAAATGTGTTAATATGATTTTCACATGACAATTTACACAATTTACTATAAAAAATAATAATAAATAATATCGTTTTTCGTTATCCATAATGATTTTTTTTTTTACTTAATATTACATAATTTATTCATAATAAAAAAAATTTTCTTAATTTATATATATAAAAATAACATAATTTTGAACTTACTGGCAAAATCATCATAAAAAAAGTTAAAAAAATATCTTAATAAAAATCCCAAGAAAAAAATTAAAATTTTTTTTTGTTTTTTTGTTTTTATAACTGATATAACTGTGGATAATATGACGTTGGTTTAAAAAATATAAATCCTTTAACAATATGAATCAAATAAAAATGGTGGATAATATATATGTATATATAATATAATAATTAATGTTTAATAACATCGAATTTTTTGAATAAATGACCTCTTATTAGTTCGAGATTTACAGTCTTCTAAACTGATCTTAATAATTGGTGAATCACTAATATCAACAAAAGTTTTTTTTAATATACTTTAATTATTATAAACATTAACACAATATTAAATAATATTTACATACTTGCTAGACATAGTAGCGCCAACTCTGAATTTTTACCTTCCAAATGAAAGCCATCTCGATCATTGGAATATTTATAATTTTTATGTTTTGATTCAAAAAAATTCTTCATTTTATTTGATACTCTAGGAAGTGGCAACTCTTTAGATTCATGAAGAACGAGACAGAATTGATTTTTACTACGAGAAAATCGTTTCAACTTCGACTTCAATGGAAATCACAATAATTTTTAGTTGACGAATTATATTTTGGTAGCATAAAAGGTATAAGGTATCAAAGTCATCTTACCTTCCAACTTTTTACCTTCCAACTTATTAGTAGATAATAAGGGTCTTTATTTGGCCCATATGAACCCTCAATCTTGTAACAAAGCATTCCCTTTTTTCCATTCCTAACTACAAATTGTCTACCCAGTACCCAATAAATAAAAATAATTAATACCTATTAATAATTTATTTTGAACTTGAAAATATTGAATCAAACCTAGTTTACTTACGTAATACATTTGGGTGAAATTATTGGGCCGGCTGAATTTACAGAAATACCACTTTTAAGGTAATTTGTTGGATTTGTGAGGGAGTATGAACTATTATTTTCAATCGATATCGTAACGGTCGTTTTTGTGAGATTCTTTAGAAACGTTGCATTTAAAAGAATCTTTGAAAATAAGGTAATTCCGGCAACTTCAAGCGTCATATTGGGGGAAAAAAAATAAAGAATGTAAATGAATATAATATGTTAAAGAATTGTTCCCTCGATAAATTTCATGACAAAGTTTATAATTGGTACATATACATAGTATTTATATTTATTTATAATTTCTCAATTCGTATAATTTAGAAAACGGAATAATCAATAATAAATAATTCCGAAATCTGGAAATCGGAACTTATAATTACTACATTTAGGACAATCTACAATTCTGCATAAAGCATATTGTGATTTTCGTTTAAAAATGTCGAAATTTATTGTTGATTATATGTACATCAACGCAGTACATACTCCGTGATAATGATTTTTCTTTTTTTCAATAACTTGTTACAAAGAAAATTGGTAGTGATTTTCTATAACCATTCATTTTGCATCATTCACGCTTCGCTTGCATCTTTCATCTTTGTATCAAAATGGAATATATGGGGAAAATCTTTGTCATAAAAGGTTGAGAATAAAAAGTAAAATACTTTTACTTTATATGTATTTCTATTTTTTCATTAGTACGCAATTTAAGATTTAAAAATTCGGTCAGCGTTAAACAAAAAAAAAAAAAATAGTCAACATGTCGTATTTGGCTAAAAGAAGTAAGGACGTTTTTTTTTTAATAATACAATAACCACACAAATTTGCTATTCACAATGATTTTGTTTAATTTTCAATAAATAAATACCGTATTTATTATCTGCAAAATTTATGTAAAATTATTATATGATGAATGTACCCAATCCTGTATATATATTTCGGGTCCTACAGTATTTTCGCCTGGGTTATTATATCAATTGTATCACGTATAGCTTAAATTTTTTGATAATCTTATCAAATAAAATCCATGCAAAGTTCCATAAATATTTTTGTGGATAGTCAAAGAGTATTTATGGAACCAGATAGAAAACTTTCAGTCTTGTATATCAGTATTCTCACAATATGTTAGTAAAGAGGTCCTATACATACAGTAACTGCGAGTATATTATTAGCGGTGAGCTTTTTATCTTTTTATACAAACTTACATTATCGATTTAAGGCCAAATTATTTCAGTACATACTTAATATATTTATTTGTCTCTTTGTTAATTGTTTAACCCTAACCTTTCGGTTAAGGATATTTTCAATTTTCATTATTATGCTCTTTATCATTAGCTGAAGTATTCATGTTGGGAAGCCTAGCAACACGCAACTTATAAATAATAAATTTTTCGTGTGAATTTTTCATCAGCAAGTTCTATATAATGTATCATCTATATATTCCTGTGTAACGGTTTGACCTATATAAATAATTTGAATTGTGTAATTGGAAACCTATTCCATGTTTAATAATTTGATTGGCTGTCAGTGTCATTTTCACTGTAATAAAAGTTTCGGTTAATGAAATTTTATTTTTTTTGCTAATTAATGAAAAAAGTTGTCTGAAAAAAAAAAAACTCTCTCCTGCATAAATCGATTTTCATAAGAATCCGCAGCAAAATAAAATTTACTAGAAATATGGGTATAACACCGTCAAGAGAAGACTTCGTAGCCCTAGAAGGATACGCAAAAAAAAGCGAAGAAGAGCGCAGAGCAATAATACAAAACGCGGGAATGGAAATAACCGATAACGACAAAGAGATAGCACAATTTTTGGGTTCAGAAGACGAAATACTAGGTTGTTTTATTAGGGGAATAATCACGATATGCTTAAGACACTTTAACAACCAAAGAACAAAAGAATTTAACGAATACATAGAAGATTACAAGACAGCAACAAACGATATGATACAACAAAAAACTGTAGAAATGAACGAATGGGCCCGACTAAAAGAAGAACAATGGAACATCAAAGAAGAATATTATTTCAAAAATACATCGATAAAAGCGCACCAAATACAAACCGAACTAGGAGCGGTAGATAACGAAGACAGGATAAGGATAGAAAAACAGGAAAAAGAGAAAATTATGAATGAATGTAGAAAGATAACTATGAACAACCTCGACGAGGACAGCGACAAAGACGAAGAGATAATTCAACATACGTGGGAAATAGAAAGCAACACACCCAGTGAAGAATCATGGGACGAAGGGAAAATGAACCAAAAATACCACGTTTACAACAATGCATCACACCAGACAAATGAAAACACCAATAATACTTCGAGAATGCAGGTCGAGAATAAAAATAGAAATTTTACAAAATCAAGAGACCAATCATT